TTTTTTAAAACATGCAAGGACCCTACTCTTCAAATGAAAAATGAAGAATTGTTACTTATTATACCCCCCGCTTGAAAAGTGGGGGTATATAGTAATCGGTATTTCCGTCCGTCCGTCCGTCCGTCCGTCTGTACGTCCGTCCGTCCGTCTGTCCGTCCGTCTGTTACGCTTTGGGGTACCCATCTCTTATCCGCAACTCCTCTCATACCACTGAAAGAAATTTGATGAAACTTTCACAGAATCTTTATTACATGTTGCCATTGTGCACCTCCTATTTTACTTTTTGATCCGACACATATTTTGGGTTTCCCGGCCACAGGAAAACATGGACTTTTTCACCACTTATAACCATATGGGAGGCGGGGGGTATCATTTAGTGAGCTCATCGCTCACAGTACCTCTAGTTTTTATTGGGGAAAACTCTAAAATATAAATTAATAACAAGATGACAACTAAATCCATCAACGCATTAAAAATCTGACACATTGTGTTTTATACTAGTACTTATTTCCATCGCTGCTGCATCTCCTGGATTGCAAGGCTTCAAACTTGGAGAAGGATTTCAACTTTACGAACATCCTCTTTCAAAACTAGTGATTCCCTTTTTGTTTCATTGGCATCTTTTTGACGTTTCTTTCTCCATTTACATGCACAAGTTACGAGTATTATGAAGATGACAGTAAAGCCTATTACACTACTGACAATGATACTCCACTTCCTTACATCATTCTCATTATCTGGGACTTCTGCCTCAAATAAACCGAGGCGATTAAACATTGAAAAACAAAAAGGATATAAACCGAGGCGATTAAACATTGAAAAACAAAAAGGATATAAACCGAGGCGATTAAACATTGAAAAACAAAAAGGATATAAGTATAATTCGTTCGATCGGTATGATGTGTTTGGACATCTTCCATCAGAATTACAGATCTTGAAGTCAAGATTGTGGAACAAAGCATGAAGTACAGGACAATACCCAGGTAAAGTCAAAGCAGAAAGCACAGATTTCTCCGAAGTTGTTCTTCGTTGATTTTATAATGGCACAGAGATAATCCAGTGGGCCCTTACACTTCTTGTTAAACCTTCGGTTATCCCATTCTGTTTTGTTTTGTTGACAGGCGTCCACAGGGGTAAAGTTTTGCTGAGTATATATGATTTAACTTCCAATCAAAGTTACAAATAAAACTTCCCATCCTTTCAAAACCGCCATAGTTAATTAAAAAAACACTTTCGGTTCCAGCACAAACAATATAAAGCTGTTAAATATTTAAAGTTTGGATAAACTTTCTCATTCAGAATTTACGGAAGCCAAAAGACCAAATCAATAATAAATGATAAAATAGTCTTTTTACTTTAAAACATAATTCTGATAAATGGTATCCTGTATTTCGAATACCAAAAATTCAAAACACTGCATCAAATGTAACTGTAACGAATAGTAATCAAACCCAAAGCGTATTGGAACAAAACATTTTGCCATCGAGGAGAGCAGTCAAAGACCTAAAAAGCATTCCCTGTCGGTCGGTCATATGCCCAAGTGCTATTTGTCATGATAGGATAAAAACGGGAAAATTCATATTAAGTACCGGGTATGATGATTGATTATTTTAAATCCCATTCTAGAATTTTTCTGTCGTGTAGAGACTTCACCATATATATATATACCATTGAAGGGGTCCAAAGACATTTACTCGGCTCTCAGAGCCATTTGGCAATGAGGGTTCGAGTTTAAAACATATTTTATATGGTAACAACGTCATTGTATCGACGATAGAATTTGTGAAAGTTTTCTTTTAACCAGACCGTTGTTAGCATTGTTTCATCAACTTATCTGTCAATAGTGTTGCTCGTTTTACAAACTATTTTTACACAAGAGGTCTACAATCAAATTTCCATAATTACTTACTAATTATACTAGGAATCTTTAAAGAGACACTTCAAAGTAATTAAAGATCAATATAGAGGATGTCAGTCCCAACAGATTCCAAAGTTAGCCCTAAAACGTCCATGTAGATGCAAATGAGTGTATGAAAATTCTACGGGAATGCTATCCCCCTCTAAATGAAGAGATTTGTTCGGTGTTGCAGTCTGCTGATAACTTAATCTATTGCATGTTTTATGGTGTTAAAATCTTAATGTTGACGACCAAGACAGAACTTGAATTGAAGCGTTGGTTTTACAAGAATGCCCTTTTCAAACAAGTTGTAAATGACTGTCTAAATTCAGCTTGAAATATATACATCTCCAAGATGCTGCATGATTGGAAAGACATACTATTTTACAGGTAGGACATCCTTTGAATACACAGATCTAAAGCAGGTATGGATTATGTTCAGTTTTATTTTTGATTGATTTTTGATATCTTAAACAAATATTTTAGGAATTGAAAAAACAAATGAGAATTTTCTGAAATAGAAAAATTATTTACTTTTGGGAAAAAAGTTAATGGCAATCAATTTTGAAGAATCAACTTTCCATAGTTAAAGTATGATAAAAATATCAACCTGATTTTTCTTTTAAGCGCAAAAAATAAGAAGTAACTGACATTTACTATAATCGAGTATAATATAATATATATGATATAATACCAAAGAAATTAATGGCAATCAAATTTGAAGAATCAACTTTCCATAGTTAAAGTATGGTAAAAATATCAACCTGATTTTTTTCTTTTAAGCGTAAAAAAACAGAAGTAACTGACATTTACTATAATAGAGTATAATATAATATATATAATATAATTCATAATATAAAATTTATAATACTATAATAGCAGATGGGATGAGAATAACATGCAGCTTCTTTGATCTTGAATACATATGTCAAGTCCTTAAGAAAATTATACAAATAAAATTGATGACCTGAACATTTTTCTCCTTGAATTTAAATTATATATCGTAAGTAAGTTAGAATTATACTTTTTGAATATATAATCTTGTTTTTGCATTTTGTCAAAATCGTCGAATCGTCTTTTAGTCTAAATTTGTAGCATCCACCGTTAAATGATGCCGTCTCAGTATGAGTGAAAAATTCACAAAAAGGACGTTAAACAAATAACAGATTTTTTTTTTCATATATCCATACAAGAATTGAATTAAACATGTATAAGCAAAAGGTGTTCTTTTGAGCAACCAACAAATATAATCCAAAGAAAATGTTTCAGCATGTAGAAATTAAATATACAATGTACTAGCATTAAATTTGTGGATTAATCACAGGTGGTATAAACTTATTATTCTCTGACAATATTGACAGAATGTTAATGGTTATATCAAGCATATTTTCAACAATATTCACATCTTTTTTAAAAAAAAAAACTACATGAAAATGAAACATATTTTGATAACATATTAAGAAATTAGATACAATATATAATGTTTCACACCTAAAATGTTTAGAAAAGTATTGCAAAATATCGTAACTTTTGAAAATGGTTTCATATACTGGTATATGAAACTTATGAAATAAAAACAAGTTTGACGAAAACCACCATGACAGCATGTAATGATAAAACAAAAATATTCTATATAACGTCTTTTTAACAAATTACTTTTGATTAATTACGATCATGATTTTAACTCTTGTACAGATTTAGAAAAAGAACAATTCACGATCACTTGTACAAAACATAATCCAAATCAAATACATACTCCCGTCAAGAAAATTTGTCAGTCAAGACTCTTTTTGGTATCTAATGTGGAATACACTACTTTTCCTGTGCAAGACTGTCCAAGGAAATAAAAAAAATGTGTGTTTTTTTGTGCATACTTATTTAAATCCGAAAAACCTGTAGAAGTTTTGGTCTGAAGAAACAATTTAGATTCTACACAATGTTACAAGTAATAGTTTCTCAAAAGTTTGTCCATATATATATATATATATATATATATATATATATATATATATATATATATATATATATATATATATATATATATATATATATATATATATGTCACAAAAACATTTACACGTACATGTATACCTACTGAATTGGTAATCTGTGAGTAGTCTTTAAGTGTGTATATAAATATTAATCGGTAATTTAAAGATTTCACACGATGAAGCCGTTAGGAAAGACGAAGATTCCTTTGGGTATTTTCTCAATCCATCAACAGTGTTTCATGCCTGCAATAATAAGCATTAAATCGATATTTTGACATGCATTTATAGAATATATTCTGTTTAGTTTAAGTGTATACTGTTCTGTTCTCTCCCTTTCCTATGATCGACGTTCAATACACATACATATATGTAGGTCACGATCTCTGCTGCAGCCAGTTGTTTACATTTTACCCTCGCTAAAATAGTTCAGAGCGTGCGTAGGGATACTTCATATCTTATTCCCACCCTGGAACTTGTATTTAGTATTTGTGAATCCATAAAAACGTTACTCATTGCTTGGAAATTAAATTGAATACATTAAAGATCTTGTTTTGTGACTGAAATTCTTATTTCAATACATGCATAATCAGAGGACTATATTTCTTAGAGAACTGATAAAAAAATAACGTTTTAATATTTCCAATCAATCTTGCAAGTGCTATTGTTTACATATAAGCAAACTATCTCTAATTTGATCCTTGCCTTCTTAGGTATCATATTTTAACAACAAGATTACTGAATTGTCCCAAAGAGCGAAGACCAAGAAGAAAATGCAAATGGTAGTGATCACAGGTGTCCGCCATTAAGCTAAAGAACAGCTATCAAGGCCGACTTACGTCACCTCGAAAAAATTACGTGCAGGGGGAGACAAATAGAGACAAAAGCGGAGCTTGTAGCACGTGGATAGGCAGAATGAAGAGCATGTAAATATAAGGAATAACTGTCAGATTTCTCGATTTCCTTACGATGATCAATCGATTGGCTTGCGTGATAATTTTATGCATTCGGCGTTTATGCAATTATCACACAAGCTAATCGATTGATCACATTATGAAATAAAAAGAATAAAACAGTTATTCCATAATTAGAGAAAAAGTTACAGTAATAATATGAATCCTAGTGATCCGAGGATTCGAGATAACCATGAAATAATAAAGGTGGGATTAAGTTCTGGGAACCACTGCAGAGGGTCATTGTCTAAAAGAAAAAATAATTTAATCATTATCATCAAGATTATGACGTTTTGAAGGTGCAGAATTTGAAAGTATACCCCCAAAGGCAAAATTCAAAAAGAGGAGACGCGTGTTTTCCTGACCAACTGGATTAAAATTATATTATAAATTACCTATAATACACTGTAATATAAATAATAATTTCGACAAGCAACAAGCAATGAAAAAAAAATAGATTTATACCCGAAAACCCTATTTCGATCGTATTTGTTGAGAGGTCATTTTTATTTTCTGCAAGTCAATTTTCTTCAATGTTACTATCTTCGATTCATTTTCTATCTTCGATTCATTTTCCCGTGGGGATCCGGGTTAGAATAGGTCCTCAGTACCCCCTTGCTTGTCGTAAAAGGCGACTAAATGGGCGATTCTTCGGATGAGACCGTATAAACCGAGGCCCCGTGTCACAGCAGGTGTGGCACAATAAAGATCCCTCCCTGCTCAAAGTCCGTAAGTGCCGAGCATTGGCCAAAATTTGCAGCCCTTCACCGGCAATGGTGACGTCTCCATAGTCCATATCAGTGAAATATTCTGGAGAGGGACGTTAAACAGTATACAATCAATCAATCAATCGATTCATTTTACTTCAGATACAAGAATTCCGATTTACCTTTGCTCTTACTGTTACTATTGGTCTGTATTTCCTAAGTGTGGCGAGGGGTCCCGGTTTTTATGCGCCCGGATCGATAGACTCGGGGCATATATTGTTTTTGTCCTGTCTGTTTGTCCGTTTATCTGTTTGTCTATCTGTCTGTTTTTAACTTTAACCTTCGTCATAACTTTTGAACCATGAGAGATAGAAATTTCATATTTGCTATGCACTCCACTTTTAACTTTCTTTCAAATGAAGCCAAGGTCAATGACCTTGAGACCTTGACTCTCACCTATATGCTAAAAATAGCTTTTTTGAACTTTTGTCATAACTTTTAAACCATTAACGTTAGAGACTTCATGTTTGGTATGAATACTCCACTAATTAAGCTCCTTCAAATGACACCAAGGTCAATGACCTTTAGACCTTGACTGTGACCTTCATGCTAAAAATAGCTTTTTCGCACTGTGTTGCCACCGGGCGCATAGTGTTTCACAAACACATCTTGTTTCTTTTATACTTTACAAAGGAGAAATCTAACCACTCACAATGTGGCTTGTTGATTGATAAATTGTTCTATTTCTTTATTCTTTATCTGTTCTGTCATACTTATTTCCTCACTCTCTTTAGACCTCTCTTTTCTGGTAAAGTTTCTTTTCCTTTTAGAATATATAACCACTGCGCATACAGCTGTAAAAGTTAAAAGAACTACAGTAACAACAATTATAATAGCACTACTCCCCAAACCACCTTTGTTATCTGGAGCATTTGGCCAATTACGAGGCTTAAATATTGAAAAACATAAAGGATATCTGTAAATTTCGTCCGATCGATATGATTCCTTTGGACATTCTTCATCAGAAGTACAATTCTTGTAGTTAAGATTGTGGGATATAGCATTAAGTACAGGACAGTCTCCTGCAAACGTCAAAGCAGGAAGAGCACATATTTCTCCAAACTTCTGTGTTGATTCTATGGCTGCACAATGATAATCAAGTGGATCCTTACAACTCTTGTTTTGTCGTCTTGTTTCCCATTCTGTTTTGTTATGGGGACAGGAATCCACAAGTAGAAAGTTTTGTTGACCATAAATGATTTCACTTCCAAGCCAAAAGACCATTATAACGATTTCTCCAAGTTTTGAATGCATTTTCTCCTGAAGACATTTTTTTTTAAATGTGGAATAACCTACTTTCGGTTTCTAGAATTTACACGACACTCAAAAACAACGCCTACGTCCTGTTCAGGTGTATACGCTCTAATTAACTAGAGTGTTCCAAGGAATGCATGTACGTGTTGTCTGCTTTTAGCTTCTTTAAAGAGTGGTCAGCTATTAATGTGCTGCTATCATAAAGTTCATGCAAACGACAATCCACGGATAGTAAGGCTGCGATAGAATTAGAAATACAATATGGATATTAATGAAATTTAAATTGTTATAAATATTTACAAATGATTTAGTTTACATGATTTTTGTATATATTGCAAAGTAGGTCAAAAGTCAGGGTCAAGCGGATTCTAATGCTGGTATTTTTCAAAATGTTTTATGACAAACAGTGCACATTCTTAACATTGACTTACCTCTTAAATGCCAAAAAGAAGTTGTACATCGGCACTGTCATCTATTTCAAATAGTAGGTTAAAGGTCACGTTCAAGGACAACTAGATCGAAAACCATCGTAAAACAAAAAAAGCCATAGTGCCAAGGTACATATGTGCAAAATATCATATCCGTTTCTCTTACAGTTCTCCAGATATTCTCGAGATATAAGGTGTCGGACAAACAGACAGACAGATTCGAGGTAATTGATTGTCTATTGTTTAAAGTCCCTCTGGAGAATTTTTCACTCATATGGAGACGTCACCGTATGCCGGTGAAAGGCTTCAAATATAGACCTATACTCGGCACTCAGGGCCATTGAGCAGTGAGGGTTCTTTATCGTGCCAGTGCCTATACCGTGACACGGGACCTACGTTGTTAAGGTCATATCCGAAAGACCCGTGACTTTCACTTCTGATTCTGAGCGCTTAGCGAAGGAACAGTCATTACCTATTTTTACGTCTTAGGTTTGAAGCGGCGCCGCGAACGAGAATCGAACCCGGGCCTCCCGATCACGAAGCGAACCTCTACCACTAGGCTACCGTGAACGGTTCAGATTCCAGGTAAAGTGATCCCCAAGTGCTGCTCTGCTCTGCAGGGGAAACAATAATCAAACATCGGGTAACGAAGGTTACTCTAAAAGGTGCAAGTACATGACTTGCATGATGTTGGCAAAGACAACATTCATATGGATGATCTGAATATCGTGCTGAATGAATCAGCACAAATTCTTTGAATAAACATGCAAAGTTTTTTCCAGCATTTTTTGTTTGAAATTGACATTTCCATGAATTTAATAAATTCGGTACTTGAGAATAATAATTGATGACTCAGGATGTGCAGTGTGGACGTATCTTGCATGGTGATGTCAATGCAATATAGGGGTAACAAGAAAGAAGTATTTGTATGCAACTTATTACCTGTTTTTTAAAACCGAGAGGAAGTTATGATGTACAGAATAATTACGGTGATTCGTTGTGCTACCTGGAATCAATTTTCTCATTAATGGTTGAACACTTTAAAAAAATTTATTTTGAAAATAAAATTTATCCCAGTAAATATTTCCTGGGGAGAGATACACTAGATAAAAGGCTTTGTAAGTGGGCCTTATAATTTTTTTCACAAAGTATACTCTTTCAGTCTTCTTGACCTTTCCAAATCACCTAGGTTAAGTGCAAACTTAGAAGTATTTTTGAACAAAATCAATTAAAAATGTGATCTTTGATCCACTTTAACTAGATTGCAACACTGCATGAGTTTTCAATGCTGATTAAAAACTTTTTTTTTCTTCATCCATATGCATTTGTTTAATACTAGTAGACTTCAATTTATAGTGTCTACTCATATTGCTTTCTAATAAGGTTCATCGTTGTGGGTAAAGTAAAATTTGCATACATATAAGGAAATTCGTACCGAAAAGAAGAGTACAAAAGAATTTTAATGTATGTATATAACTTTATATATACTCTCCTGTGCAACTCACGTATAGGAGCACAATTTTAAATTACTATTGGCAGTTTTACAAAGAATTGCTTAAATATATATGTCAAAAATCATCCAAAAAACAACATTTCTTGAAATAAGGCATGTATGGAAATTATTCAATCCTATGGCCTCCTCTTCCTTTTCCTCTCTTTTCGATTCCCCCTTCGGTTCCCCTCGGCAATCCTTTTTTGTCTCTCATCCTCTCTGTACAAAGCGTATGCTTCACATTCACAATTAATGACGTCAACTAGCAGTTTTATAGCTATTTAATCCCCGTTCACCTCCACTCATTTGCTAGCTACAAAATCACACTCCGTCGGATTAGCGTACGTCACAATCCACCTTGTTTCCACATCCAGATCCGATGAGCGGATCGACAAAGGATCATACTGGACGGATCGGACTTTGAGCCCGAGCTGAGTTTCCAGGATGTCTCGGACATCGGTGTGGGTGTAACTATCGTTCTCCCGGAAACTGAGACAGACTGCAAACGGATTCGGGGATGGGCGGTGTTTGCGCATGTACATTGCTGGTTGGACTCGGCTGTCGTATTTCACTGTCCGTTTTACATCTTCCAGTAATGAAAGCCTTTGAGGTTTTGGTCTGCAAGAAAAAGTTAGAGGTTCTCTTATGTTGTTGTATTTTAATATGCAATTTATAGACTATTGAATGGAAATTCCGATGCTTCAATTGTGAAATCCTATTGAAAAGCTTTGCCATATACTAAGTATAATATTTTAATATTTACATTTTTGTGCTTTTGTTCCTGTAACAAAAAAAAGCGACGGATTTGCAAAATATAATTTTCATCATTGATGAAATAATGTTAATGGTTATGTCAAGCATATTTTCAACAACATTCACAGCCTTTGCAACAACATTGCATGAAAATGAATTATATTTTAACAACATATTAAGAAATTAGACATACTATATAATGGTTTATCATTAAAATGTTTAGAAAACAAATGCTCATAACATGTTCATAAAACAAATGACTCTTTTTTAATTAGGATCTTGATTTTACTCTACTTTACCATGTTTACATCAAACGTGTACAGATTTAGAAAAAGAACCATTCAATAGTACAACACAGAATCCTAACTGAATACTCCAGTCAATTGGTTGAGGCTAAATGAAGCGCTTTCATCTTATTATTTGACAGAATGATTTTATGTACTATATCTACATATAAATATATTGATATTTATTACTTTGACAAACTTTTTGAGATGCAATTACTTGTTACATAGTGTAAAAAATGTTACTTCAGACCACTTCTCCTATAGTTTCGATCCGGACCGATTTCAATTTGTCTGCACAAGTAGACTATGCTAAAACACATTTCTTTTTTTATTTACTTGAAATGTCTTGCAGTGATTATGAAAAAGATACAGTAAACCTTTGTTATTTTGAAAAAGAAAGAACCAAACTTCGATGTATCCGATGATTCGAGATAAATATGGAATTATAAAGGCGGAGTTCTGGGAACCACTGCAGAGGATAATTGTCAGGAAAATAATTTCAGCAATATCATTAAGGTTATTATATTTGAAGGTGTAAATTATGAAAGTAAACCCCTATAGACAAATATCAAAAAGAGGGGACGAATATTCCAGGCCAAATACCGGTCAATTAAAAATATAACGATAAACAAGCAATGAAAGAAAAAGGATTCATATACCTGAAAAACCCAATTTTGTTTGTATTTTTGTTGTGAGGGGTAAGACAAGTCTCTCTCTCTCTCTCTCTCTTTTTGGCAAGTCAATTTTGTTCAATGTTTCTTTCTTCGAGTCCTTTTTTCAGATACAAGAATCCAGGATTACCATTTTACTATTGGTCTGTGTTTCCTTTACAAAGGAGAAATCTAACCACCTCACACTATGGTGTTTTGCTCTATTAGTTTATCCATATCCTCAGTTGTTATACTCTGAATTCTTCCAAAAATCTTTTCAGACATCTCTCTTCTGGTAAAGTTTCTTTTTCTTATATAATATATAACCACCGCACATACAGCTGTAACAGTTAAAAGAACTACACTGACAACAATAATAATAATGGTACTCCTCCCCAAACCACCTTTGTTATCTGGAGTATTTGGCCAGTTACGAGGCTTAAATATTAAAAAACAAAAAGGATATCTGTAAATTTCGTCCGATCGATATGATTCCTTTGGGCATTCTTCATCAGAAGTACAATTTTTGAGGTCGAGATGGTTGGATACAGCATTAAGTACAGGACAATGCCCAGGTAAAATCAAGGCAGAAAGAGCACAGATTTCTCCAAACTTCTGCGTTGATTCTATGGCAGCACAGTGATAATCGGGTGGATGCTTACAATTCTTGTTTTCTCGTCTAGTTTCCCATTCTGTTTTGTTCTGAGGACAGGAATCCACAAGTAGAAAGTTTTGTTGAGCATAAGTGACTTCACTTCCAAGCCAAACGACCATTAAAACGATTTCTCCAAGTTTTGAATGCATTTTCTCCTAAAGACATCTCTAATGTGGAAAGTGTAACTACTTTCGATACTAGAATTTAAATGATATTCAAAACAACGCCAACGTCCTGTGCAGTTACGCTCTAATTAACTAGAGTGTTCAAAGGAATGTATGTATCGCCTGCTTTTACCAGCAGATTACAAAAATACCGGTCAAGTTTTTTAATAGCTTGCTGGATAGCTCAATAGGGTACTAGTATTCAATTTGGTCTATCAAGTATCACTTTAATTACTCTAGTAGATGCAAGAAAGATGTTTTTACGTACAAAGATGTTGTACGTAGATGCAAGAAAGATGTATGATGTTGGCAAAGACAACATACATATGGATGATCTGAGGGTCTTGCTGAATGATGTCCACGTTTAACTTGTGAATTATTTTTTAAAACTGTTTTTATTACCTTTTTATTTTTTTTATTTTTTTTTCAGCATTCCCCATTTAAAAGATGCACAGATCTGCCTGATCAAATATGATATAGATTAAGTATAGATTTGTGCAAGAATAAACATTTGTTATACCTATTTTAAAAAAATTGTTCCTATTCAAATCTATATTACGAAAAAAGTCCAACATATCTAATGTATTGCTGAGTGGGCTTAAGAAATCGATGTTTGACCGATGAGTGAGATGTTGGACCGGTTACCTCAGAATTGGCGGAACTTAATTAATCTCATTTTCATTCGTTAGTCTTCAATAGTGACGGACCTGTGATTACAATCACTGAAGACACCACAAAATACATGTATGTCAAAAACGAAAAAGAAAATGAATGGCATAAGAAAACATTTATTGACTAATTTCTCTCGCAAAATGCGTTTTGTCGACCCTCGAACAAAACTGTCTGCCTTCGGCCTCAGGCAGACAGTTTGGTTCTTGGATCCGACAAAACGCATGTTGCCCTCGAACTCAGCCAATAAATGTATAATATTCTTTTGTTACATTTAAGTTTTAGAATTCAGAGAATTTAAAGCTAACTATAACAATTTGCATTCGCGTTATCTGGTCAGGGGTACATATACAATGTAGAAAACATAGATGATTCAGGGGGAAAATAAGAGAGGGGTACATACGTATATTAAGGAGGTTGAACATCACAATGAATAAACATACAAATTTTTTTCAGCATTTTTTTTTCGTTTGGAGTTAACATTTCCATGAATTAAATAACATTCAGTTCATGAGAATAATAATTGATGACTCAGGATGTGCAGTGTCAACGTATCTTGGTGATGTCAATGCAACAGGGGTAACAAGAAAGAAGTATTTGTATGCGACATACTACCTGATTTTAAAGACCGGGGGGAAGTTTTGATGTACAGATCTAGAAAACTACAATGCTTTGTTGGGCTACCTGGAATCAATTTTCTCATAGATGGTTGAACACTTTAAAAAAAACTTTATTTCTAAAATAAAATTTATCCCAGTAAATATTTCCTGGAGAGAGATACACTAGATCAAAGGCTTTGTAAGTGGGCCTTATAATTTTTTTTCACAAAGTATACTCTCTCAGTCTTTTTTACCTTTCCAAAATCAGCTTGGTTTAGTACAAACTTAGAAGTATTCTTGAACAAATTTAATTACATGTATTTAAAAAATCGATCTTTGATCCACTTCAACTAGATTGCAACATTAAAAGTCCACTGCATGGGTTTTCAATACTGATTAAGTACAGCTATTTGTAAGAACCAGGCAGGGGGTGATTCATGACCACTTCAGATTTTTACAAAATTTTAATATGTTGCTTCATGGACCAAGGGAACATCATTGGACAACATAATTTTTTTGGCCAGCCTTTGTTGCCATGGAAACAATGCACCATGTAAATGCACATGGCAACCAAGCAAAAAATTGAAAAAAATGTGAATTTATCCATTATTGAACACAGAAACAGAGCTTTTTTGATGATAGTACCATGAATAAATCTTTTTTTCCTGAGAAGTACATACAAAATGATAAATGATTACCATAAGGATAAAATTATATAGGATTTATTAAAGGTGCTGAATTTCAATTTAACATAGGTCATTTCATAAAATTCACTTTTCACAATATTTCTTCAAATCCAACATATTTTAGAAGCATATTAAGAAAAAGGCCCGCATGTTAAAGAAATCTGATAACATGGGATAGAAAGAGCACATTCTTAATTTTAATAAAATTAAATAAAACCCATGGGTTTTTTAAAAATATTCTGTTACCATGGCAACGAAATGTCACAAAAAATCATTTTTCACAATAATTACCGTTTTTAGGAGCATAGTAAGAAAAAATCCCACATGGTAAAGAAATCTGATAATGTGGAATAGAAAGAGCACTTTCTTAATTTCAATAAAATTAAATAAAACCCATGGGTTTTTAAATAATACTCTGTTACCATGGCAACAAAATGTCACAAAAATTCATTTTTCACAATAATAACCATTTTTAAGAGCATAGTTAGAAAAAATCCCACATGGTAAAGAAAACTGAAAGCGTGGGATAGAAAGACCACAATCCTTATTCTAATAAAACAAAACAAAACTCATGGGTTTTTCAAAAATATTCTGTAACCATGGCAACAGAATATCACAAAAATTCATTTTTCAAGAAAATACCAAAATATATCATTTTCAGAGTATGTTGTGGAAAAAATACCACAAGCACAAAAAAATTGATAATATAAGATAAAAAATGTTCTCCTAAACCTTGCAAATATTAGATAAAACCAGTGGATTTCTCATAAATTTTTGTAACAATGGTAACAAATTATTCTGGAAATGCTTTTTTAAATAAATTGACTTTACAAAATCTCCATGAAATACAAAATAATTACTGACTAACATACATGTATTATTTTCACAGTTTATTGTAAATGCATGAAAATATATTTGTTTTAAATATGCTTTTGTGATTTGTATCTGGTTACCATGACAACATCTCCAAATATATTGTATTTGCCTATACAATTTAGTCAATGTGATTAGTTTGTATGAAGAAAACTGTATGAGTGGCCATTAGCTAAAATAATGAAAGACACAACATTTTTTTTTTGTACCTAACTTCTTTAAAACAAATATTTGGTTTCTGTGGTAACTGTGATTAACCATTTATGAGACATGATCTAATTATTTCAATTGTATTTTTAAAGCAATTGTTGAAAAATCATCTGTAAATGTACTTTTTGCTGAAATACATAGTTTACAGTAAAGAAATCTTGAAAAAATGTCAATATAACATTATAAAGTGAATCAAATGTCAAAAATTCCATGTTCTTGACTAGATAGGCAAACTAAAATTCAAAATTTTATGTTGAAGGGGTGTAATATTAAATATCATTGGGTGTATCCTGGTCTTGGCTTCAATAAAACCCCTTTTACGTTTGGAGGAGCTTAATAATCGATATCCATTGTTTCTGGTCTGGATTTCTTTCAAAAAGTTTTAAACTGACAGTGTCTTTATTAGATTTTTTTGGCCATCATTTAGAAATGTGCCGTTGAGATTATCTGTATCAACTGTACAGGTACATCTATGTGTCCTGGCTGCTAAATAGGTGCTCCAGCTAGATTCCTCTGACATAATGCATGTGGTTCATTCATCTATCTGGAAAAAAATATAATTCAAAATGTGAACTTTGTTAATGAAAATAGGCATTCCGTAAAGCAATTTTTTCTTGTTGCTGTTGAAGGAGGAGAGTAGCTAAGGTTCGTTTTCTCTATGATCATGATCATGAATACAAGAAGGCCATATGGTCCATAACACTCACCAGAGTAACTGGTCATTCTGTTCTACACTAGATTTTCCTACTTGTAATACCTATTGTGGTTTAGGTCCATTCTTAGGAGGAGGGGGACATGATTTAAACAATTTAGAATATACACTTAATCCCTGGATGCTTTAACACGAGAATTTCAGCTTTTCTGACCCAGTGGCTCCCTATTTTTTCTCTTTTCTTGATTATCACCCCTTGTAAGGGATCTTAGCCCTGCCAAGTTTGGTAAAAATTGGCCCTGTGGTTCTTGAGAAAAACCTCAGCTCTACAATTCTTCTCTAAATTTTCAAGTGATGTAACCCCTTCTTTAACCCTCACCCCATCCTTGCCTCAAGTAGTTAGCTGTTATTTGATTCTGAATATTAGTATAACTATTACAGCCTTACTCATCTGAAAAGGTTTTTTTTTCAACAACAAAAATTCTGTTTAGATATGCTGCATTTTATAGATTTAAATTTCTAACTTTCTACTGATTTTGGTTTCCAATATTCAAAGAAACATTTGTATGGATTGAACAAAATAATGAAGATGACATACAATAATACAGTGGACCTTCAGATATCCGGACGCCAGATATCCGGATGCTTCAGTATCCGGACGAATTTTCATCAGGACGGAATTTTTGAAATGTTATTTTTTTTTGTTAACTAGTGATTCAGGTATCCGGACGCTTCACATATCCGGACAAATTGACGGGGAACCAAAGTGTCCGGATAAGTGAGGGTCCACTGTACATCTTTTACTCCTATTTGGCTTCCACAAACAGCAGTAAAACTTGTTTAGTACAAACACGGGCATTGTGAATTAAAAGAAGTCTTCTTGGATCTCCAACTATATAAATATTACAAAATTACATATATGGATACTAGTATAACGAATTATATAACGAAGTACTTTTACAGGTCCTAGTTTGTTATAACTGAGTTGTACTGTACATATATGTGTAGATAAATGATTTAACAAGAGACCCGGGGCCACATCACTCACCTGGCTTGGATAAAAATAAAAAATCAGCTTTGTATTGAAAAGCTTAAAAGCATACATGGTCGTGACCTCTCCCTGTAAGGGAGAGAGAGGGGGGGTATGATTGAACATAACTGAATCTACACTAAGGATGCTTACAGGGTACTTATTTTTGACTAACTGTGAGTTTTCCCCTACAAGTTTGAACACTTTTATTGTAGCCCCACCCTATACCTGAGGGGAGGGGGGGTCATGATTTGAACAAATCTACACTACAAGAAAATGCTTCCATAAGTATATATAACTTACTGGCTTTTTTGTTCTTTGGAAGAATATTTTTAAAGGATTTTTTCTCTATATTCTTAGTTAAACTTTGATTGGCCTTTGTGGTCCCACCCTATCCTCAGGGTCATGATTTGATCAAACTTGAATCTACACCACCTGAAAATGCTTTCATATAAATATTACCAATCAAGGCTTGCTGTATCCGAGAAGAAGATATTAAAATATTTTTTTTATATATTCCTATGTTAAACTCTGATCATCCGTTGTGGCCCCGTCCTACACATGGGGTTCATGATTTGAAAAATTTGAATCTACACTACCTGACAATGGTTCCACATAAGTTTCATATTTCCTGGGCTATTGATTCTTGAGAAGATATCAGTAATGCTATTAATTTTGTAATTCTCTCCCCTTGGAGAATGACAATGACAGACAAAAGACAAACTTTGATTAGAAAAGATCACTTGAGCCTTCAACTCAGGTGAGCTAAAAAATTCAGAGAATCAAGATCAGAAGAAATATATACAATGGACCTTCAGATATCCGGACGCCAGATATCCGGATGCTTCAGTATCCGGACGAATTTTCATCAGGACGGAATTTTTGAAATGTTATTTTTTTTTGTTAACTAGTGATTCAGGTATCCGGACGCTTCACATATCCGGACAAATTGACGGGGAACCAAAGTGTCCGGATAAGTGAGGGTCCACTGTACCTGTTTCAAAGTCTCTGAATGGTAGTGTTCACTATAATTCAGCCCTTAGTCAGAAGGTGAGTGATTGATTGTATACTGTTTAACGTCCCTCTCCAGAATATTTCACTATGGAGACGTCACCATTGCCGGTGAAGGGCTGCAAATTTAGGCCTATGCTCGGCACTCAGGGCCTTTGAGCTAGGAGGGATCTTTATCGTGCCACACCTGCTGTGACATGGGGCCTCGGTTTATACGGTCTCATCTGAAGGACCGCCCCATTTAGTCGCCTTTTAGGACAAGCAAGGGGGTACTGAGGACCTATTCTAACCCGGATCCCTAGGCCCTTGATTGCTAAACGAAAAGGAATGTTCTTAATGATAATTAAAAACAAGAGGCCCATGGGCCACATCGCTCACCTGAGCACTAAGGGTAGGAAAAAGTAGAAAATGGCTTTTTACTGTAAAGTATAAATCCAAAAGTAGTTCCATGACCAATCATGGATTTGCTATTTTTTAGAAAATGATTTTTAAAGAATTTTGCTATATATATATTTTTAAAAACTTTGGTCGGCCATTTTGGCCCCGCCCTAGCCCCAGGGGTCATGATTTGAACAAACTTGAATCTACACTACCTGAGCATGCTTCCATATAAATATGATGAATTATGGCTTTGTCATTCTTGGGAAGAAGATTTTTAAAGAATGTTCCTATATATTTCTATATGAAACTTTGTTCGGCCATTTTGGCCTCGCCCTACCCCCGGGGGTCATGATTTGAACAAACTTGAATCTCACTATGTGAGAATGCTTCCATATAAATATGATGAATTATGGCTTTGTCATTCTTGGGAAGAAGATTTTTAAAGAATTTTCCTATATATTTCTATGTAAAACTTTCGTCGGCCATTTTGGCCCCGCCCTACCCCCGGGGGTAATGATTTGGACAAACTTGAATCTACACTACCTGAGGATGTTTCCCCATAAGTTTCAATAAATTATCTTCCCTGGCACAGTGGTTCTTGAGAAGAAGATTTTTAAAATATGCCACCAAATTTTCATTAATTCCCAATTATCTCCCCTTGAATGAGGGCGTGGCCCTTCATTTGAACAAACTTGAATCCCCTTCACCCAAGGATACTCTGTGGCAAGTTTGGTTGAAATTGGCCCAGCGGTTCTTGAGAAGAAGTCAAAAATGTGAAAAGTTTACAGACAGACGGACAGCTAAACAGATGGACGCCGGACAAAATGTGATCAGAAAAGCTCACTTGAGCTTTCAGCTCAAGTGAGCTAAAAACTGCAAGTTGTCAACACAAAATACCGAATTATCTAATGATACATAAATAATATAAAGTATATGTAACACTAACGTTAGTTGAATTGATCATCTTTTCTTGGTGATTCTTTGGTTGTCCTCAATTTTTAAGTTTACACTACCTCAGCTGTGCAGGTGTTGTCAAAGGGGATTTTGAAATTCAGAACAAGGCTCAGATTGCATCTGAAATGATAACAAATCATGACATTCATCATATGACAAGAGAATGCATACATTTATATAACAATTTAGCTTTTGAGTTATTGATAAAAAATATTTATTTACCTCCCCCACTCCCCCATGTACTAATGATATCATCATGAATTCATACTATTAGTTATAAATTGAAAAAGAGTTCTAGTTTTGTAGGATCAAATTTTATTTTTTAAGTTTTAATCCTAAATTAGATGAAAAAATTGGCAGAAACCCATGCATATTGTATGTGCTCTCGTATTTATAAATCTCTCTCTTTCTATGTGTGTATATATTTGCTTGTAGGAATATTTGGGAAGCCCCCCTCCCCCATTCGGATAGGGTTTTATGGCTCAAACACCCCCTCCCCCCCGTATCAACTGATAAAACCATAACAGTATTTTATTGGTTGTTTTGCTTGTCAATTAAATTTTGTAGGGCTCCCCACCCTTCTATATAATTCAAATAAAAGGAAATGCATTTCAAGAATATCATACACATATAAATCTGGAAATATACAGTTTGAAAGGGCACAATTTTACATTTTGATTAAATGAATAAGAAAAATAGTAATTATGGTTTTGCCATAACATCTGAGTTTTTTCACGGCTTAGTTAAATATTCACTATTTTAAGAAGGACCCATTGGCCATTCCGTAAACAGTGTTTGAAATAACAGTGCGCCTGACTGCCCCAGACACACAAATTTTGCTGTGGGCTTACCAATTTGCACATATTGATGCCCAACCGGACTTGTTTAAAGTTTTCATTTATTAAAATTTAATAATTTGATTAATCGCTTCCAAATCAAATAATGGTTTCATGAGCAGTACAGGATTTGTGATTAAAAGGGGGGGGGGGGGGGGTGGATAACTTTGTTCAGACAAGGGGTCTTGATAGTGATGTTCCATAGTACAGTCATACGTTTAGTCATACCATAGTTTGAATGAAGGGGGTCCAGGGGGCAAAGCCTCAGAAGCTCCTGAGATTTCATGTGTTTAAGAGTAAAACTAGGCAAAAAAATAGTGGTATTGTATGAAAGTATAACATTATTAATATATTAATATTTTCCTACAGCAAAACATGGACACTATTATATTCATATGGGAGGCCGGGGGGGGGGGGGGGGGGGGTTATCATTTGCTCATTGCTCACAGTACCTCTAGATTCAAAAATAAATTTAACAAAAGACAATTATTTTCTCAGCTAGGCTGGTAGTTTTTTAGCAGGACTGATAACTTTTACTAGCAGTCAGCCTGTATGTTTGCTATCATTTTTTCTTGACTTTCCCCTTTTTCAATTTGAAAAAAAATAGTCAATATTGTCTTTGTTTAGACATTTGTCTGTGTTATGTATTAAATACCTGATCTAAATATGACATCCATAGAGGCGCCGAGACATAGAAAAAATTATTGCTGCATCCAATCTCTGCTGTGGCTTTCACTGCTTCTTGCTATGGCTTCATGTATGCTGAGGTCGAGGATTTCTTCCAGTCGACTGTGTATATTGCAGTACTAAGGGAGTATCGACGGAAAGGGGAGATTACTCATCATACTCTAATCCCCAGCAGCGAGCTACTGTTCAAATTCCAGTATAAACTTAAATGTTTTCCACAAAATTAACTGAATTTAAGTAGTTTTGACGATATTGTTGAACAAGTTAGCCTTTTTCAAAACACTCAAACTCTTAGCATGTTTAGGAAATGAAATTTTGTTTTGTCAGATAAAATTAAGCAAATTGCAGGCAGTTATTTTTTTCATCCTAGGATGTATATTTTTCTAATAAAAATTTTAGACTTACATGCCCCTTGGATGTATGAAAACTGGCAAAACTTCCAAAATGAAGATGAAATCACACACATTTCTTAATCCTCCCCTTCTAAACTGAAGAGTTAAATACACTCTTTCCAACTCCTTTTACTAAAGAGTGTCAAGGGAGATAACTAGAATTTCATGTTTTTACATAATTTAAAATCACAATATCTATTCGTAATTAAAATAACCCATGGGTTTTTTAATTGTTTTTTACTCTTTGATATTAGATGTTCAATATTTTAAAATTCACATTCAAGGAGAGTGCGGGCCTTCTTAAAAAATCACCTGCACGTACAGACACCTTTCAATGGATATTGTTGACTGTTTCAGTATATATTGAACTCATTTTTTAATCAATTATGCATGAAATCCATTTATAACTGTGATCAAGTATTTAGTTTGATGTATCTTAATGTAAATATGATAGTTTTTGAAAAATCTATCACTATCATGAATCACTTATTTTCATTTCTGCCTGGTTCTTATAAATAGCTGTACTTAAAAACTTTTTTTTCTTCATCCAAATGCATTTGTTAATAGACTTCAATTTATGGTGTCCAATCATATTGCTTTCTGATATGTTCATCGTTGTGGGTAAAGTAAAATTTGCATATATAAGGAAATTCATACCAAAAAGAAAAGCACAAAAGAATATCAATGTATGTATATAACTTTATATATACTCCCCTGTGTAACTCGCATATGGGTACACAATTTTAAATTACTATTGGCAGTTTTACAAAGAATTGCTAAAAATTGTATATCAAAAAATCATCCAAAAACATCATTTCTTGAAATAAGGCATGTATGGAAATTATTCAGTCCTTTGGCCTCCTCTTTCTTTTTCTCTCTTTTCGAATCATTCGGTTCCCCTCGGCAATCCTTTTCTGTCTCTCATCCTCTCTCCACAAAGCGTATGCCTCACATTCACAATTAATGACGTCATCTAGAAGTTTTATAGCCATTTTATCCCCATTCACTTCAACTCCTTTGCTGGCTACAAACTCGCACTCCGCCGGAGTAGCGTACGTAACGATCCACCTTGTTCCCACATCCGGATCCGATGAGCGGATCGACAAAGGATCATACTGTACGGAGCGGACTTTGAGCCCAAGCTGAGTTTCCAGGATATCTCTGACATCGATGTGAGTGTAATCATCGTTCTCCCGGAAGCTGAAACAAACGGCGAACGGATTTGGGGGTGGACGGTTTTTGCGCATGTACATCGCAGGTTGGACTCGGCTGTCGTATTTCACTGTCCGTTTTACATCTTCCAGTAATGAAAGCTTTTGAGATTTTGGTCTGCAAGAAAAAGTTAGAGATTCTCTTATGTTGTATTTTAATATGCACTTTATGAACTATTGAATGGAAATTCTGATGCTTCAATTGTGAAATCCCATTGAAAAATTTTTCCATATATAATATTTAAATATTGACATTTTTGTGTTTTTTTTCCTTTAACAATAAAAGCGATAGATTTCCAAAATATAATTATCATCATTGATGAAATATTGCGTTAATTCAATGTTGAAAACAACTTTACAAAATGTTTATTTTAATAATTATTTAGTTGGCAATTGTATTGATTTTTACATACCACAATAGATCGTTCGATATTAAAGGCAGGAAACAGAAACGTAAATACATAAAGAAGCTTTTGCAACGAAGTTTTACAAAACAGCTACCTATGACCTGAGAAATATTTGATTTTGTGCTGTATATGTCTTGTTAATAAAATCTCTCCGTTCTAACACTTTCGTTTCCGCGCGATATCTCAAGAAGCCTTTAAGTTTTTGCATTGAAATAAAATTCATACCACAATTCCCTATATGGCATAAGGAAGACCCCTTTTTATTTTGAGGTCAGAGGTCAAGGTCGTTAATTCTTACATGTTGTGTGTGTGAAACATTTATTTCACGGTGATATCTCTGAGAACTTTTGTAAATACATTTTTATACCATAACTTCAATTTAAGAAACGGCTCTCATCAAGCATTTTCAAATAAGGTTTGTTCTTAATTTATTGGATGATTTTCTGTAGACTGACTCTTTTTCTTTTAAATTGGATCTCTAGTGATGTAGTGCGCATTTTATGAACGAAACTTCATTATATGAACGATAACTCATGTTCGACTACTTCTAGTCTCTACCATCTAGCGTTAACCATATTAAAGGGACAAATATTTCATTTCTGTTTGGTAAATATATAAATATCTTTGTGTTGGGGGAGGGGGGGGCTGAACGATTTTTAGCTCACCTGAGCCGAAGGCTCAAGTGAGCTTTTCTGATCAAAATTTGTCCGTCGTCTGTCGTCGTTGTTGTCGTTGTTGTCGTCGTTAACTTTTCACATTTTCATCTTCTTCTCAAGAACCACTGGGCCAATTTCAACCAAACTTGCCACAAAGTATCCTTAGGTGAAGGGGATTCAAGTTTGTTCAAATGAAGGGCCAGGCCCTCTTCCAGGGGGAGATAATTATGAATTAGTGAAAAATTAATGGCATTCTTAAAAAATCTCTTCTCAAGAACCACTGGGCCAAGAAAGATGAAACTAGTGTGGAAGCATCCTCAGGTAATGTAAATTC